TGAGATACCTTTCACTATGGATACTATCTTTGCTTTCTTTTGTCACAGTCGTTCTGTTTTTATTTTTGCAGGTCTTTGTATTTTGTGATTTTCTCTAGTTCTTTGTCTTCTATTCTGTTCTCTCCAAGTATTGCAACCTCCATTATCCAGATTTTTTTTGCATTTCTTATAGACAACTGTTAAGTCCTGGAGTGTTATGTGGCAAGTGCTTGTCTGCCTCAATTCTGATTCAAGTCGCAGAGCAATTTTCATTTTCTATTACTTTGTCTGTTTTGGGACTCACCAGTTTCTTACTTGCAGGCAAATGGGATTTCTTGCCGATATTGCAATACACACTTGTTAGTTTATCATGGTTGAGGTAAAATACTGTTAGTCTTTAAGGTACTAGAGCACTGTCTCTGTATTATTTGCTATTTTGTTTGCTGCCTACCCCTTTGAACGTCATCTTGGTAGAAGTATTTGCAGTCATATTTAGATTTTGCCACCCTAAATAATTGCAGAGTTATTTGCATGTTTGACTAATTTAACTGCTCAGTACATTCTTTTTGCTTCCAATTTCTGATGATTGTTAGTTAACATAGCCAAACCATATATTTATTAAGATAGCAAAAGAATTCTGAAAGATTAGTGAGGCACAAAATTTGCTGATGTCTTCACCAAGGTTTTCTCTTCTACTTGTTTAACACAATGTTATCCACCTGGTGTCTTCCACAGATGTTGCATTGCAGTATCCATAAACCCTAGCCAGCATTACAGTTGGCTATGATAGCTAGGTATAACGGAAACTATTTCAACAAAATTGTGGGGGAGTACTGATGAGGGAAAATTAAAATAGGATAATTCTATATGCTTTAGAAGCATAACTGCAGTGACTCACTTGACATAATACTTATAGCAAATTCTTGCTTGGTACTCTTTCACTGAAAAACTTCCACACAGAAATGTTAGTTATTAACTTAAATGAATTGTGGTTAAGTAGATATGAAAAGTGATACCATTTTTCAACACATTTCTGGAGTCTCTGAACTGGGGTGGTGGTGGTGGTTCCCCTCTGTATTTACATGATTTAAAATAAGAATAGTGGTGTGGCAGCTTAGTTTTTAGGCATCACAAAACCGTGTACCTTTAGAATCACACAGTGGCATATCTTGTGTCATTCTTCATGTTGGAGAAGAAATAACGCTGTCAAATGATAATTATTGCAGTGTTTGTGTTCCAAGTGATTTCAGCTCTGAGAGCAATCACATGTTAGATCTAGAAGCTGGTGGCTTGCCACCTGAGAGTGGAGGACATTGCCATCAGTTAATTACTATCACTGAATCATGTTCCTTCATGCTGTGACTGGGTGGCAGCTTGGACTCTACGAGAATAAGTATTTGCCATGATAGATCAGAAGGTTTTCTGAGGGATCTTTTAGATAGATTCATCTTATACCTGATTGATTTCTGGAATAGGAAAAATATTTGGGTGCTGACCTCTTTCTAGTTGCTAATCCCAGTTGAAAAGTGATTCTTACTGAAATAAAGTAACTGAAGAGATGTTTGAAGCAATGATAAGAACTATTCTCCAAATAATTTCTGCCCATCTTTTTAAATAGTTGGGAGAGGTCCATTCTTAGAGTCCATGCCCCATGAGAAGTGGAATGGATATAAACTAAAAGAAAGCTAATATATGGAAGGCCCATATATATAGCCCTAAAGGTCTATCTGGCCTCTTCACTTTTGGTCATCTTTAAAGCCATTAAAGTTATCTTTTTCAGTCAACTTTCTGAATTTTAGTAATGATGTTAGTCTGCTGTTTTCGGTTGGGATTTTTTTTTGTATCCTAGGTTTGGTAATGTATTTCTGTGTTTTGTTTTGTGGCTCTTGTATTTTATGTTTGCAAATTACCTAGAAACTTAATTGAATAGCAACATAATAAATGCTCTGTGAATGTTGAAAAATGGTAAATCATAGGTACAATGATGTAAGTAGAGAAATGTTAAATATGAATATGGTTTCCTTATGGATTAACTGTGCAAAAAGGAAAGATAGCAAGAGTGAATATAAGAACTACAAACAGATTTTTTTGATAAATGGGCCTGGGAAAATGTTTAGGAGAGTTAAATGTATCTAAAAGGATATGAAATATGACAACAAAATTTGGGAAAGGCAGTGTGGTTTTATGTAAAGCAGATGTAGATCGAATGTTTAGATCCTTCATCCGGACATTAAGAAGTCCATTAATGTAATGTATTGGTTTTGAAAACAGCATATGATAAACTGAGTAAGAGTGAACTATTATTTTGCATGAATCTGGAGTTGGAGGTTTCTTGCTTAATGGGTTATCAACAGTTTAGAGGAAGTAAAGCATATGAAGGAACAAGTTTGGTTTCTTGATTAAGACTCCATACTAGAAACCACCAGTCTATGAGTTGGTTGTGTTGGCCATTCAATCTGTCTCAGCTGAACTCAACTCACAGGGTTTTGTTATTGTGGGAATAGGAGGAAGAAGTATTAGGTATGTTCACCGCCTTGAGAAACAAACAAACAAACAAACAAACAAACAAACAAACAAATGGTTTATTTATTTATTTAGCATAGGGCTCATGTTAGCCAGGGATCACTGAGGTGGCTGCCTGCCTCTGTGAAAGGAATTTTTATGGGTGGTATTATCTTTACCCACAGGATGCCTGAATGCCGGTAGGCAATCAGGGGAGGCTCCTTTCTTATCCCTCTGCAGTTTATTCGCTGATAGGAATCGAGCCCCCGAGCTACCGGCCTTGGTGATGAACAAGCCCAGCATCTTACCAAAATAAATAAATGGTAAAAACAATAAATGGAACTGAGACAAATATAAATGATGTCTCCTTGGGTATTTAATGATAAATGTATAAATATGGGGTGATGTTAGAAATGTTGGATTTTCCCTTCCTCCCTCCCTTTACTATTTTTTTTTACTTTTTTCTTTACTTTGCATAATGTTGGTTCCCCAAAAGAAAACAGCAAAATGGACCTGTGTCTGGGGGGGGGGGGCAAGATCAGGTATAGTGAAGTGCTGTTTTGTCCCTCCTAGACCCCCAACTGGCCATTCAAGTGATTGTTCTTATTAGTGGTAGCTGCACAGCACTCCTGCCCATTTATTTAGAGAGGCTTCTGACCTTGTTTTATGAATTACACACTGAGTGTGAAAGCTGAGAGCAGCTTTTTGGGATAGGTAATGAGGTAGAGCTCGGGCACAGACTGCTCCCCCTTGTAGTTTTACGGCAATCAACTCACAGAGCTAACTAAAAAAATAATAGCATTTTTAAATTGAAATAAATCTACAGCCTTAGCAAAAGCGTTGCTATATGGTTGTCCTGTTATTTTAAATGAACAGTGTCAGCAGATATGGAGAGTGAACTTCCTTCCCAGGAGGTACTTTTTAAATTAAATAATTTCCTAATAAGAAATATCAGACTGGAGAGAGGGAGGGAGGGTGAGGGAGAGGGAGAGAAAGTGTGTGTGTGTAAATGAATTTCATTTTTATGAATTTGCACGTGTATCCATATGAATAGATGTTGCCATGTATCCTCTTTCCTATTTTATATTCAAGATCTTGAAATTGTTTGCCTTAGTTTACTGTTTGTACAATAGAGCTTGTGTTTCTAAATTGCTGAATCAGAAAAATGTGGGTCTGAAGGATTAATTTTTAATGGATCACTCTTCCATGCATTCAGGATCTTAAAGCTGATTACCTTGGTTCTGAATATATAAACACTGAGGTGGGATTTGCAAGCAATCTGTGGTTACTTTTGAATAAAAAGGCATAATATGAAGCTTATGAAAAAAATATCTGAGGAAGCATGGAGAGGGATGAAATTATTAGAAGCATAACAATCACATTATTTAGTACGTGGGTTTATCTTTGGGAACTAGGGTCAGATGTTGGTCTTAAAATAATGGCTACAGGAGCCAAAAACTAATTGCTACTTATAAAAAACTGCAAAATGTTACTTTTTTCCTGGCTAGGTGTTTGCTGCTAAAAGTTACTTCACTTTTATATTTGAAGATAGGAACACACTTGAATTTTAGTTTGTTAAACATTTCACATTTGTAAATAATGTAAAGACTCTTCTACTTCTGAAGAAAAAAAGAAGGTTGGAAGCATGGGAAATTCTATCCAGAGTTTGCTTGAATAAAGAAAAAACTAAGAAGTCAGAAGTGTGTGATAAAGATTTTAGAATTCTAAGAGGATAACTCAGTCTGGATAAAGACATTTGTTTCTGCCTCATAGATTATTATATTTTTTAAAAAAAAAGAAACATTCTTTTTTAAGACTGTTATCTACCAATATGATCTTCTGTTTTTTTTCTATTTGTGTGTATATATAGCACGGAGAGTTCCTGTGTGTAGAAACACTATTTTAAATGGGATACTGAGACAACATTGATGTTGGCAAACATCACACATAATGTCAATTTTTACCTGTTAGTGCAAATAATAAATGTTAATGATTTTGCTGTAGTGGAGAGCAAAACCTGTCATTTTTCATGTTGGAATCTGGGGAAAAAAATACCTAGCAACGCTATCCACCAGAATTTTAAAGCCTTTGCATCAAGTCAACTTTGTCACTCAAAAAAATATTGAGAATGTGAATTTGTATTTAATAGAAGAGTAACATCAGAATGAGACTATTCAAAATAAAATACTGAAAAGAGAGATGTAGACTTCTGAAAAAGTGACCCAAATCAGAGGTGGTATTCAGCAGGTTCTGAACAGTTCTGGAGAACGGGTAGTAGAAATTTTGAGTAGTTCGGAGAACCGGCAAACACCACCTCTTACTGGAGATTTTACAGTATCCTTCCCCTGCCACACCCACCAAGCCACACCCACAGAACTGGTAGTAACAAAATATGAATCCCACCACTGACCCAAATATTTGGACTTCATAATGCTGAAGAATGGCTGAACCAAGTATTTTGATGGGATTGAGTCAACGTCTTGCTATACTATCATGTTAAAGTCTTCTTTCTTTTCCAGGCATATAGCTTTGCCATGGGGAGCTGGCCAAAGAATGGGCTGTTAGATATGAACAAAGGACTGAATCTACAGCACATAGGAAGGCCTCACAGTGGGATAGGTAAGAACAAGTCTTTTTTTTCTCCTCTTATATTCCTGCTAAATCCCTCTTCGTGTATTATGATTGGAAGATTACCATGTGTTTGTTCTGAGCTGCATTTGAGATTTTAATACTAACATCTCAGAAGAGCATTTAGTTTTTTTTTCCTCCCCTGTTTAGACATTATGATATGGAGATCCTGATGTCATGCCAGGTTACCCCTTATATGGTGCTCTCTTATTTTCTAATCTATATTTTTGTTTAAGGGATAGGTTTGAGCACATTCATGCTTGCTTTTGCACTCAGTTGTAAGCAAGCTGTTTATTCTTCTGCTGACGTTTCTGAAAGATGTAATAGACTTCTAGGGATTTTAAGTTACATGGAAAAACATTATAAGATGACTTCTCTATCAAATGCAGCTTGGAATATGATGTGTTCCTATCTATTAGAAGATAGCAGTGCAGGAAATAGTGTTATGGTGTGTATTTAGCAATAGATGCATACAATAACTCCTAGTGCTCTTCAGGAAATTTGAGGTGTTAATTGATAGTTTTTCCTCATTTGGACCTATCAAAGTATGTTTTCTCTGCTATGTTTTTTTCCTCTTTTATCAATTTCTTTCAGCTGTAAATTTACATATGGGCAACAGGAAAAAAAAGTCCCCTACCACACAGGCCTGGAGGAAACAGTTTAATATTGTTTCAAGACCCTTACCACTAAACTATCAAATCAATATGAGTTAAGGAGATGAATTATTTAAAGCTCACCAGCTTTTAATTAGCAATCTCCTTCTGAACTATGGATCTGGTTGCATGTTGATGGAACGTACCACTGAAATGCTGCTTCTTTGCTTGAGTATAGGCTCATTTCAGCCATTCATGTAGGCTGGAATTGTATAGAAGCTTTTTTACATTATTATCCTGATCTTCTTCAAACCATTTATCTCCTCTCAGATGTTTTATAGAAGTGTTTGTAATGGCTGTTCTTACCACACTAAAGCCACAAACATTTCTACAATACAATCTGTCACTGTCTTTAATTACTTGTACATCTAGCAGACTGTCATTAGCTTGTTTTCCCTGCTGGAAAGTTGAATACACAATGATGGTTATTTTCTCCAATTTTCTTGACTGTCTTTTACTTGTAAAGGATTTTGCTTCTTTATTTTACTTAGCCTAAAGGTGTTGTTTGTGGTGTGAAACACCACCCTATTATCCATGGGCGCAACACACCGAGGTTAAATGTTTCCCTTGTGTCTGCAACACACTGAGGTTAAATGTTTCCCTTGTGTCTGATGAGAGCTAAGCAATAAGTCTTAAACCTATAAACCAGATTTTCTTCTTTAAACAAGGTTTTTGTCTTTTAATACTGTATTATTGTGAAAGATGTGCATGTCCCCCCACACAATGCAATCCAATGTGCAAATAAATAGTTTTTTTTAAAAAAAAACAATCAGCATAGATTTAAAATGAGCATATCTTCTCTGGAACTAGGAGATTCTTATCTTTTTGTTCCCTGTTTCCCTTTCCCTCTCTATTATTTGATCGCCATTGCAATCATGTACTTAAAATATTCCTGTTCAGCTTTCAAAATGTTTAAATGTCCCTTCAATGTTGTTTGCTATTAATAGAGTTATGTGATTTTGGCTTAGGATGTTTAATGAAAAAGGGACTATATTTACTTGAAGAAAAATTAATTTTACAGTTTAATTTACATTAAAATGGAACAATCATATATACTTAGAAAGTGATGAAAATTGTTGAATATTTTTTCCTGAACTTTCTTTTTTGATAGAAGAGAATCATTTTAAACTGAAGGTCATAAACCTTTGGATAACTGTGGTATTTCAATGTAATAAATGAAGGCCAAACAGTCTGATATGAAGCAGACATATACCATGGCCTCACTTCAGAAGAAGCTGGCTTTTCAAATTAGGAACTTGTAAGTGGAAAACTTACTGTGGTATATGAAGGACAGATAATAACAGTTATGACACCACTGGATGGATAGATATTACTCTATTATTGCATACTAAGTTTGGCTTTAAAGAATCATGTTGGTGAGGGGGGCAGGGAAAGAAGGAAGGAAGAATGAAAGAAAAGAGGGAGGGAGAGGAAGGAAGGAAGGAAGGAAGGAAAGAAAGAAGAAAGAAAGAAAGAAAGAAAGAAAGAAAGAAAGAAAGAAAGAAAG